TCTCCAAGATCTATATTTATTTTCTCTTTTTTTTACCACATAACAAAGTCCACTTCCTTATATTCCCATGAGTTATGAGCTATGTCTTACATGACCATTGGAAATTATCTGTGATTAGTTTACTGGTGTATCAGCTATGGAATATAAGGCCATAAAGCTAGCATCATTTACATTCGGTGGCCTGTCTTCTCAGACTCTTTCTGCCGACTTTCCCCCTTTTTCCCTTTTTTTCCCCAGCTGAACCCATTCCACCACTCGAAACGCAAGATAAAACTGCTTGGAAAGACTAAGGCAAATGCGAAATAAAAACGAAAATTATGAACTGCACAAAAGCTGTTGTGAATTTTAATAAATTCTTCCTGCCTTCTGTTTCTGTGCTCTGCTTCTGTTTCCTTTGAACGTATCTTTGTATCTGTGTATTTCTGTATTTCCTGCCGGGCGAACAAATCAAAAAGGGGAAAGTTCCGGGGAGGAGATACAAACGTCAAAAGGAGCAGTTATTTATTTATTTGCAAGGGGGTTTCAGGGGTTACGAACAGGAACAACAATGGCGGGCTAACGCAGAATAATGGGATAACAAAACGCCCTTGACACCCAGTAAAAAGACAGCCAGTCCTCAAAAGTGGGCAAAAGTAGCCTTATTATTATGAACACAGCACGTAGCAATTGTTTCCGAGGGGGTTCTTCCAAGGGGGTTTCGTTCGACAAAGGACACCCGAAACCCCGAAAGTACAAATCAAACCCTCGAGAGCAGAGAAATAATAATATACATCCCGAAGAGCGAGAGAAAGAGAGAGGGCGAGTGGGCGAGAGAGAGGGAGAGCACAGCAATGGCGCACTGCAAACACGAGGGTGTGAGTGAGAGAGCGAGGGCAAGCGACTTTGGGGGAGTGTCTTCTGGCTACTCTTGCCGATCCCACCTCTCTTTCGCACCCCCAAGAGCCAGGCGAACACTCGCTACTCGCTGGCCAGCAAACCATCTCCCTCACACCCTCTCGCCGGTTGTCGTCCGTATGAAAAAAAGAGAGATAAGATAGCGCCTCGAAAAGAACGGGGCTCTTGCGTTGGAAATTCCGGGGTATTGCGTTCAGTAGCCGCGAGTTCTCGTCGCCAGCAGCACCACGTTTACCGTTAACCACCCCGTCTGCAGGTCTATACCCCAACCACCCAGCGATACACTCGCTGTACAGCGACATACCCGTGCGCCACACGCATCCAACAGATACTTTTCCGAATTCGTTTTCAATCCAGCTACGTCCTGTTACGAATGCAGACGCGTCGCCTCCGTTGTGATACCATATACACATAGATATAATACCAGGTCTAGGTGGTCTATCGCTACAAATGCCAGAGATTCGAGTGCCATAGATACTTAGCCTAATTACGCCGCGGATTAAATTATTAAAACACTCAAATCCGAGAGGATTTGCCAATCAAATCACATTGTATCATTGAATCAAAATCATATCACAGAAAGTGCTTCGCGAGTGAGACTGTGTGCGTTCGTGTGTGTGCTCTTGTGGAAACGGCAGCGAGATTAAAAACATATCCCCGAGTTACTTAAAATTAATCACTAACATAATCACTGTGATTTTTATTATTTGATCTGCCGACGTCAACAACGCGTGTGCGAAAACTGTTTTTTCGAACGGCTAACAGGGGGCTCCATTAAATGCCGCTTCGCATTTGATTAGCAATCTGTTGCAACAACAATAACCTACCGAGATCCCCGAGATTTATAGCCCATAGCTGCCCACGCGATATATCCGAAAGATTTTCGGAGGCTTTTCCAGATCTTCGCGGCGATTGAAATGCTGGCAATCTGATTTATTGACGGGCCCACGACATTTGCTCCCGGCCGATAAACCATCATCATCAAAGTTCACCTTTGATATTCTTATTCCGGATCGACGGAATCGACGGAACCAGCGGAACCGACGGAAGTTCGTTCCCACCACCTAGTGGATTAATTTGAATTCCTGTCCCATCATTCAGAGGTGAGTTTTGGTTTCGGAACTTGTAATAAAACTTAGTAAAAGGAGGTTGAACAGTAGCAATAATATCTTAAGCTAACTTAAATAAAAAAATTCCAAATAACAATACAAATATACAAAATCTTAAATCAAAAATGGGATTAAAATTCTATAGTTCCTGCTATGCATTCTTAAACAAAGAATATAATAAATGGCTTTTTAAAATTAAATTTTTTTAAAAAAAAACATTGTTTGATATACTATAATATAACAAAGAATTTAAAGAATGTGGTTCTGTTTTTTTGATAATTCTTAAGAATTAAATATCAAAATGATATAAATTGAATATAATATTAGGAAAGTACAAAATCGAAAGTAAAGCTGCCCCAATTGCTGTTAATCAAGTTAATTAAGTGTTAGGTCATCGCAAACAGAAGTTTCTGGGTAAACACCTTCCTAGGAACTTAAGCACTCCATAATGACAATGTCAATTCGGCTGATGCCAAGGGAAACATTCTAGCTTTCCAGGGAAGATCAGTAGAGATCCCTTTAAGAACCCAGAGAGCACCGCCAATAAACCGATTGTTGGTGAAAGAATTAAGTTTACGGCGGACTCTCACGCCGCGCATAAATCACGGCGAAGTGAGACCCGGATTCCGAATGGCGGAATTGCGGGCTATAAAGAAGCTCAGATCTCAGATCTCGACCATCTCGTAAGGGGGCCTCTGGGCTTCTGGGTCTAGAATACTAGAATACTGCCAAAAATATTCGGAGGAGAGCCCGGCCAAGTAGCGCCATTGACGTCACCTAAACAATTAGCAAACAAGGCATGGAAAAAACCTAAGTACACAATGCTCGGTTTCAGTTTCAGGTTCAGCCGCTATACTCCTCGAATTTGAATAAAATAATAAAATTAAATAGAAATGAAAACATGTGGAAAGCCTTGGCAAAACATCGGAATCTTGCCACCTTCGCGACGAAGAAGACGTAAACCCACGAGATCTTCTTCGGCCATAAAGTGGCATAAAATAATTCTGGCGTTCTTTGTCTTAGGGAATCATTATGTAAATAAATTCTCACTTTTGAAATAAAATGACGAGGCAGAAAAGTTGAATAGCAGAGTGAAAAACACACACGAAATAGAGCGAAGAATATTTTTCTTTTGGTGGAATGGAAACAATGGCCGAAACGATGGCAACCGAATTATTTATTAGACGCTGCGGCAGATAATTTAGCCAGAAATTGAGACAACTGCGGCAAAGGCTGGGCAAATAACAGTGTTATAAATACTCATCACGGCAATAAATGCACAAACTTTTCATTTCAACGGCCGCCAGGCAGTTGACCCATCAAATCACAAATCGTGTGGCCCATAAATTGGCTTCAAGTGAAATTATGTTTATCACAAAAGGCCGAACATTATTATTGTTGAACAACCGCAATTGGATTTAATATTACAGCCGCACTAATCCACTGGGGATCAAGTGGAGATCAAGCGGCATTATCAACGAAATCGAAAGTGACAACTCAAGCCAAAGCATTCCGATTAAATTTAATTAAATTCGTTTAACTTCAGCTGCGAATTTATATTTATGCTGGCCGCTAGATTTATGAAATTCGTTCTCATTTCGAATGGGAATGAGAATCAGAATGCCTTTGAATGCCTTTAGTTTGTTGTGATTGAGATTAGATAACCATTTATTGCAACGTTTCGTTTCGTTTGCCCAGATAGCGTTACGTATATATAGGTATACCCCTGTATATATAACTCTCGATATCGGGCAAAGGGGCCTAGGAACCTGGAGAGGTGTTCCCTCCCTTTTTTGCTAATTGATTTACGATTGTTTATGGCTATTTTCGTGCTACTGTCAGTGGGCTGTTTTTTATTTTTAACGAATTTATTGGAGGCCCATGACACAGTTTATCGCTCTATCGTTCTTGATAGTACCTTTCCCTAATTTCGATTTGCCAAAATCCCGCCCAGTGTACGTGCAATAATAACAATAATAATAGCGAAAAAGAAATGCTCGCAGAAATGTAAATATTTTACATCGATAAGGCCGTTATCACTCGGGGCCCCCTCTTTTTCAGTCTGCTGATAGCCGATTGCGGTGTAGGTGGTTGTCAGCCCAGAACCACCAGATCCCCCTCGATCCCCAAGTGCTATCCCCACAATTTACGACACCGAGCGATCCAGTCCCATTTTACCAGCGGCTACAGCATCCAGTCTCCAGTGGTATATGGTATTAACCCCTTGACGTGTTTGGTGTTAACTTGCCATTCGGCTGGTGTTTGGGTTAAGCTCGTTGTTTGCCTTTGCCGTTGAGGCGATAAAAAGTTCCACCAGTTGATTTGCCTACCAGGTAGCCGGAACGATAATTAAGTCTGGGTAGGAATGAACTCGATATGAGTAACTTAGGTAAAGGGAAAATATATATTGGAACTATTGTGAAGATAGTGTAACAGGTTAAGTAAGTTCATTAAATTGTTAGGGGTGTATGGGTACAAATTTATGGGGAACATAGTTGGGCTTATCCAATCCTATAAAATTAAAATAATATTATGGCATTTTTCTTTTTGTTTAGAATTTAATCACCAAACAAGCAAATTTCATACTTGTTTTTTTACATTTTAGTTAGGCAATATTCTAAGTAATATAAATTATATAAGGTATAAACAAACTTTGTTACAAGTAACCACGATGAATAAAATTAAAAAATAAAGAAGATAAATTCTAGCAAATAACTATACATACATTTTATTGTATGTATAAAATCCATAAATTTTAAAGTTATAGGGTAATTAAATATAATAAAATTTCCCCGTTTTTTTGTGGTTGTAATGTAATTTTTCCTTATTTTCCACAGCTTTTCGGGCTCTGGCAACGGCTGCATCTTGGATTTGCTTTCACCGCAGTTGGAAGATACCGGCCTCAAGACGACGACTTTCCTGCAGCACTTCAAGGACGTCGTCACGACGAAGTTCACAGGGAGGGACCACCACCTGCCGCCGCTGCACCCCGCCCACCCCGCGCACCCGGCGCACCAGCAGTCGGCGCTGCACCACCACCACCACCAGCAGCAGAGCTTCTCCACCATTTTTCCCACATACCTAGGAATGGACCGCTCCTCCGGTTGCGGCGGAGGCGGCGGTCTGGGCGGAGTGGGCGTGGTCACAAGTTCGGCCACCGCCCTCGGGCCGGGTGGTTTGACCAACGGCGGTGGCGGCGTGGTCAGTGGTGCGCTGAACGGACTGGAAGCCATGTCCGCGGAGTCCACGGGCCTGTGCCTGCAGGATTTGGTGAGTGCCGGGACGGCAAACGGGGCAGGATCCGCGGGATCGGCGGAGAGCGCCACCACCACTAGCACAGCTCTGAGCAGCGGCAGCACCGGAAGCTCGACGGTCAACGGGGGCGGCAGCAGCACTTCCGGCACGGAGCACCTGCACAGCCACCACAGCCTGCACGACTCCAGCTCCTCCGTGAGCATCTCCCCCGCCATCTCGAGCCTGATGCCCATCAGCAGCCTGAGCCACCTGCACCACTCCGCTGGCCAGGACCTGGTGGGCGGCTACTCGCAGCATCCGCACCACGCGGTGGTGCCGCCGCACACGCCCAAGCACGAGCCGCTCGAGAAACTCAGAAGTAAGTATCGAATAATGCAGGAAAATTTAAATTGAGATTGAGTTTGGGGAAAATAGTTTAGAAAACTTAAGGAAAATGGGGGAAAATTTTATTAAGAATGGAGTAAAGTTGAGAAAGTTGGAAGTATTGCAGGCAAGGATAGATAATTTCGGAAAAATAAATAAAAGGATTTTAGACAATTCTTAATTTAGAACTAAAGAATTAGTTATGGTAGTGTCAATATTTCCAAAAAAAATATAGTTTGGAATGCCATTTACATTAAGTTCCTTTTATTTATTTAAAAGCACTAAATTCACTAAAATTATAAAAACCAAACGATTAAAAAAAAGATTTAATAAATTACTTACTTATCACCCAAAAAGAAATAAAATAATTTTCATGTTCTTGCTTAAAAATAATTAAATACAAACAATATGATTGATTTAACATTCATTTAACCAATTCTTAAATTCAAGCGTTAAGTGACTAGAACTATTTAGAGTACAGATTTTCTTTTGATCAGTTCCCTTTTGAGAAGAATTTTCCGGAGTACAGAAACGTTTTCTAAACTAAGGTGTGTTTCAAAATTATACGACACCAACACACTTATTTTTTGAAAATTTGTAGCGTTGTTGTTGTTTATAGAAAGCGAAACATTTAAATGCAGATCGAAAGAAGAATGTATGATGTGTACGAAAAAAAATACCACGCGTCCTTGATCCTCTTTTTAAGGACTTACCGCTAATTTTTCGAAATATAGTCCTTTTTTGGCTATGAGCGATCGTTTCATAATTATACGACACCATCGATTTTTTCCGGTTCTAATAACCGAAATTTTTTTCTGGTTAAATATAAACTAAAAGGTTCCATTTTGAGATTAATCTAGACCAAAGGTCATTTCAATCTTCAACCCATACATAAATATTGAATATGTCTCTCTACACCTCAAAAAGTTTTTCGAAGTCATATCCCACAATTCGTCTTAACTTTTGTCTGGTCAATATTCTAAACACCTTTTAATCAAATAAGAATCCTGTTTAGTTCATTACGTGCACGAAACAGACCTCCAAAATAATTTTTTAAAGAACTGCCCGATTGGAACAAAACTAATTTTATTCCAAAAATATTTGATTTTGGGCGATACTTTCTGTCAAAATGCAAAAATTTGTTCTTCAAAACCTTAATAAACTTTCCACATTTCACGATTGAAACATTTGAAATGCGAACCACAGTCTGCGCCCCCTTAATGAAATCTCATGCAGAAAACACTCAAATTCATATGAAAAAATTTGGAACAAACTTTAAAGTGGCGCGGACTGGGGTTCGCATTTCAAATGTTTCAATCGTGAAATGTGGAAAGTTTATTAAGGTTTTGAAGAACAAATTTTTGCATTTTGACAGAAAGTATCGCCCAAAATCAAATATTTTTGGAATAAAATTAGTTTTGTTCCAATCGGGCAGTTCTTTAAAAAATTATTTTGGAGGTCTGTTTCGTGCACGTAATGAACTAAACAGGATTCTTATTTGATTAAAAGGTGTTTAGAATATTGACCAGACAAAAGTTAAGACGAATTGTGGGATATGACTTCGAAAAAGTACTTTTTTAAGGTGTAGAGAGACATATTCAATATTTATGTATGGGTTGAAGATTGAAATGACCTTTGGGCTGGATTACTCTCAAAATGGAACCTTTTAGTTTATATTTAACCAGAAAAAAAATTTCGGTTAAGATTGATCATTGGAACCGGAAAAAATCGATGGTGTCGTATAATTATGAAACGATCGCTCATAGCCAAAAAAGGACTATATTTCGAAAAATTAGCGGTAAGTCCTTAAAAAGAGGATCAAGGACGCGTGGTATTTTTTTTCGTACACATCATACATTCTTCTTTCGATCTGCATTTAAATGTTTCGCTTTCTATAAACAACAACAACGCTACAAATTTTCAAAAAATAAGTGTGTTGGTGTCGTATAATTTTGAAACACACCTTATGACAATTTCGTGGGCAATTTGTATGGAAATTTGTGAGGGGCATCTCACGCATTGACAGCTAATTAGTGGGCTCATAACTCAGTCTAGTCTGTATTCTACGCTATATATACTCTAAGATCCCCTTCGATTCGAGCCATCAACAAGTGTCCGCATTCTCATTGCTATTCATGGCACTTTTGTGGGCTTCTATTTTATTTTATACATATATTTTGTTGTTCCTTCTGTCAGCGGCAGCTGTTGTCATTTCAATATGCGATTCGTTTTGGCCATCATTCACGCTTCGTGCCAAAAGCTCACTCCCTTGGCCACTTGTCGCTCTGAATCTCCTTTCCTATCCGATTCCCCTCATACATATTCATAATCATTGTGCAATCATTAGCGCATAATCTCCACAAAAGCGTTACAAAGGGAGCAGTCCAAAAAAACACAGAACAGGGAGGATATGGGATGAGATATCGCTAAACAAATTTCAATTTTGTGCGCATGTCACGGCTAATTGAGCACCCTTCTGGCGTAGTGCCGAAAGCAACACTCTACCCTGCTCACTTTCCTTGCCACTTCTACTTCCCCTTGGAGTTTTCCCTGCGGAAATTTGGAAATTCGATATGTGCATTGTAGTCAAGTGTTTGTTGTTCCGATTGCTCCAATTGTTATGGGAATTTGGACGCGTTGGAGGATGTTGGTTCGGTATTATATATGTAATTTGAATGGTGATATGAGGCAGCCAAATGAGCAATGCCACAGCTTCAAGTGCCCCGATATGACAACTCAATTGGTTCTGGGGAAGATTTTGGGAAAAAGTCAGGCCACTCCAGATGGGCAGAGAGAACCTGTTTGGTCAAGGTATTTTATTAGATGGAGGAAGAGAAATATCTGTTCTATATGGAATTTAAAAAGAAATACAGAATTAATTATTGAAAAGTTTAAACTACATAAGATTGTTTTTAAAACATATTAAATATTTTTTTAGCATTAGAAAAATATGCAATAAATTCAGGAAATTTTCCAAAAATGTATGAACAACATTCTATTAAAATTCCCAGCCAACTTTGTTTCCTCTCCGACCAAAAACTCCCTCCTTAAAATTTCCATTTGCATAAGAGATTTGTCTGCCCTCGCCTAGAGATTTGTTGGCTGTCGCCCTGTCAACTCAACTCTGCCCCTTTGGGGTTAACAGCCCCCAGGAAAGTTTGCACTTGTCTGCATCCCGAAATGCCTGAATGCCCGAAAAGAAGCAAAGTGAACCGAACTGAACCTAGGTGAACTCATGGCCACAGATGTCCTGCCATTTATTTGCGTGCCAAAACAATTTAGCACAAAAATGGCGAGCATTTAAAATATGCACGACTGCAGTTATCCTTTGACACCCGTACAAACACGTAGATAGAAATTCCGCAGGAGCTGCAGGTGCGGGCCACGTTAACAGCTCGGGGCCACAAATTTCCACTGCTGTTTTCCCCCTGGTTTCCCTGATTTTCCCTCTGATTTTCCCCCTTGTTGTCGTTATTGTTTACGCTCTTGTTTAAATAATGGCCACGCAACGTGATTCTGTTCCTGCCGTCGGGAGGATTTTCATCAGACTCCAGGAACTGCAGTCGCTGCAATCGGATTTTCAATTATTGGCCAATTTAATGGTCAGCACACAAACAGAAATACAAACAGCGGGAGAAACACCCACAACCCATTCTTTTATAGATATTTATTTATGTGGATTTTTATACGTACGACCAGAGGTAATAATTTTTTACGATTGCACTTTTTTATGGGCCCTGTTCCAGCTTTTAGTTTCGACTCGACACTTTCGTTTTATTTTTGGTAGATCATTTTATGGCTTCGGTGCGTGTTTTTATTTCGCTGGCGGTGCTCAAAGGATTTCAAGTTCACGTTTTACACTAATTTCGAACGATTTTTATTGTCAAAACTGAGATGTAACTCTTTAATAGCTGGGGATTGTCTTCTGAATTATGTTGTCAGCAGCTGGTAGAATAGAACTGAACCGACCTTGTCCCTTCGACTTTTTAGTGTGCATTTCATATTTCACCATCGCGGCAATTAGGGAATTATCTCGACTATATCAACATATATCCACTGGCATCGTCTATTTGCCCATGGTAAACCAAACACAGAACCCGAAACGAAACCGAAACTGAAACCAAATCAGAGCAGTTTACATTCCTTTTTTGGTTGCTCGGCAAATAATAGTTTTTGGTTTCTATTCCCAGTTCTTTTTTGTTTCCATTTTTTATGGCCAGCTAGTCCTTAGCTTGTTTGCCCAGTGATACGATGAGATGTGGGACTATTTGCCCATGACAATGTTTGTGGCTGATGCCGTTGATAAAATTATGAAATTACCAGGGTCTCACTTCGCTTTGAGTTCGCTTTCTGGTGAAATCGTGTTGTTATCTGTTGTGTCTACACGAATGCCTAAATGTGTATGCCCATCTTCTCGCTAAGTGTTAATGGCACGTGCAGCTAGCCAAAAAAAAATACAGAAAGAAACACAACAGAACCACATAAACAAAAACCCCAGACGAAGAAATCCAGGGGATACACAGCGCTTTTTTTTTAATGGGGAGGGGTCCTCCAGGACTCGGGCTACTTTAAATTCCGCACCAACGCCCGTATTTGTCAGGCCTGGTCTTTATGAATATAAATACCTTTTATCGATTTTCCGCTCGGCTCTCTGTGGTTTTCGCCTCTTAAAGCCTTAAAGGATATCACAGCCACGTCCTGCGGTGGGTGAGCAGTGCATTGCCCGCAAATCTCTGCGAAATTGCTCACATATGTCATTGGGTGCTGGCAAGAACAGGGATCACACTCGCATTGGCAAAATGCAAGCAACCCGAGTTCCAACTTAAATTGCACTTGCTGACCGGTCAGGAAAATTATCATTGGCACAGTGGTTAAAAGTATTAAATAAATCATACATATATATTTAATTTGAATTTGATTTTGTAAAAGTATAAATGGAATGTTGTTGTCCTTATAAATACCTATCGAAATGTAAAATAAATTTTTAATTCATTAATAAGTTATGAGAAAATAATGAAATTTAAGCAGTGTCAAACTTTTTCTGCAGTAGGTTGATCTTCAGTGTAAAATAGGCCTTCCTTTATTAGATAGATTAACGTTTTAACTTCTTTGATTAATTTATTTATCAAAATATTTACCAAAATATTTAAAATTAAAAAAAAACTACAAAAGTTCTAAAAAAATTTTTATTGAATTTATTTCTCTCCTGGATTTTAAATGTTTTGCGCCACTGTAGGAGACTGTAACTACCGCAGAAGTTGCCATTTATCAATCCATCTGCACAGCTCTATCTTTTCGCTTTCGTCCTCGCTGGCACTGATTTCGTTTATATAAATTATAATGTCATTATGGCAACCAGCCACAGAATCCACAACCCTCAATCACCATCCCCAATCCTCACCGCTCCTCTCTCTCTTTTTTCCCCATTTTCCATGGAAGCAATTACCTCGTTGCAGAAGTTCTTCGTTCGTTGGGAGAGGAAAACTTGATTCTCTGTCCGCTTTTCCGCCTCTTTTCTCATTATCCGGGCATCGTGCAATTTCGTAAAAATGTCGCATTAGAGATTATCTGAGGAAACAAACTTGTCCGGCGGACAGGACTCCTTTGGCCTGGCTGGGTCCTTTGGCCAGCTTTTTGTTGGCTGACCCAATGGCAGGAAAGGAATTCGAGCTGACAGTCGGGCAAATTACTGGCCAAAGTCATTGCAGTGGAAAACTACAAGGGGAAAATCTAGTCTGGTCGGAAAAACACAACGCCCTTTTTTCGGGGGTCCTTCTCCCCTTTTTGTCTTATCTGCAGTCTGAACTAATGAGTCCGGGTTTTTGGCCAGGACTCTCTGGTCAGCCATTTGGCCAAGGGCTGCTCTTTATTCTCAGGACATGTCAATGTGATTTCCCTGATTTTTATGCGACTTTCCTTTTGGACAGTCAAGTGTATGGAGCTCATTATGGAGCCATAACATATGGTCAGAGGCCATTGTCTCGACCGCAAAGGATTAGTCCTGCGAGACATAAAAATTAACTTGCATGGGACGTTGCCTAATTTTCATGACTTTTCCGAATTAAGCTAATTTGCCACTAGGGGTTGCTTATGCGATTTTTATTTTGCGGCATATGGCCGGCAATTTCCACGGACATCAACACCTCAACGGCAGCAAATGTGGCATGAAATTGGAAAAATATATCATTTCATTTGCGGTGTGCGGAGTGTTTAACCCTTTGGTGGCCCAGCCAGTGGTTTAGTCTTGAATGAGACTAGAATACATTTCCAAATCCAATCTCAATTCCAATCCCAGAACACAGAACCCGAAAACCAATCCCCTTTCAACTGTCACATTAATCGTTTGTTTTTGGCCACCAACTAAACGTTGCTTAGCTTGACATTTTCCCTCCCTTTTTCCAAGGGGCCTGTCCTTTTGTTTTCGCTCGTCCTTTTTCCTTTCTCCTCTTTGTTTCTGTTTGTTTTGGTCTGGTGAGGTTTTCCTCCTGTGACAGTCTGTGCGTCTCCTGCCCCGGGATAATTTATTGCTCCGGCTGCCGTGTCGTGTGTCAAAAGTTTTTATGTGGAAATCTGTCTATGAATGAAACGTATGTGTGCAGGATGCTTAAATTTTGGAGGCGAGCAGAAAAAAAATAAGCAGAAAAATCCGAATCATTTTCGAATCATTTGTGCAGTTTCACTCGGGCAACCCTCGCTGCCCGCTTGATTAATTGTGAACGCCCCTCGGGGAGTGTTTGCCTTTGACTTTTGTTTGGGATCATCGCAATCACAATAGTCGCCAAGTCAAATAGATTTACCATTGCTCATTTGTTTGCACAGCGGCTAAATGGATGAATGGCTAAATGCCACTGCAAAATGGCTGGCTGGGAAATTGGAAAATCCGAAAATCGTAGAATCAGAAAATAGAAAATCAGAAAAGCGAAAGTGACACAAAACTCTTGCTTGACATGTGCAAAACGCTCTCGACACGAAACGCCCACCTCTATTGACACTTGCCACTCATCCAAACTCGATACCCACTCGAAAACCTTGACAACATTGTAAAACTCGGGCGACAACTGGCCGACAAATGTCACCGCCAGCTGACAGACGACGGCGATTTTTCCGAACGACCTGTCAGGCGGCGGGAAAACAAAACACCAGGAAAATCTGAAAATGAGAATCAAACTCAAATTAGTCGCTGGCCAAAATGTGATGTGCTCAGGAAATATTTACACAAATAAAAATCGCCTTGCTACGTGATTTTCGCTGCGTTTTTTCAAATTCTCCGTATTTATTTTTTCCCAAGTTTTGTGTTTTTAGAGCGTGTCGTTGGGAAAATATTTTTACGATACGAAGAATGGGCGGTGGACGACCCATTTAGCTCAGGTCGGAAATCGGATTTTGGGAATGCGAATGGGAGCATATCTATTGAGATTCATCCAGCTGTGTCTTCGAAATCAAAGGTTGCAATGAGGCATTCACTAAAAAATGAAAGTGGAATTGGTGCGAGAAGTGCCGTCTCATGTAGCAAACTGGGGGGATGATATAATAGATAGTTGGTATTAACAAATTAACATCTCAAAAAATATATTCTATTTTGTCCTAAATTCCAAAGAATAAATTTATCTGATTATTATAAAATTCAACTATTTAATAAATCGTGACAAATAATATCCATTAAAAATTAATTTCTCCGCTTAACTCTGCCACCTTGTTTATTTTTTCTTCCATCACCCAACACGCTCATAATAAGGCAATGAAATTTTAATTACCCCAAAACGCACTCATTAGAGGCCATAAAAATACTTTTCACGGAGAAATTTCGAATTTTCAACGGCATGTGAGGCTGTTGTCGTCGGCATAAATTATGCAACTGGCAATAAACTAATTGAGCCATGGGCCACTTCCGCGGGGGGATGGCATTTGTGACTCCTAGGGGTACCCAAACCCCAAAGTAGCAGGCTAATTGTTTCAAATGTCGCCGCGGGTGTTTCGTTCACTTTAAAAACCACATTAAAATGACAGCATGTGAGAAGGCCATAAATTATTTGGTGGTATGCAAAGGAAGTGGCCGAGAAGATTTAGTGGGAAGTTGGAAAGTCGGGACCCAGGGACCTCGGGACCATATGGGTGCACACCTTCTTAGGAAAACCCCCAGAAATCAATTGCCACGGCCATAAATCTGTGACGAAATGGGGAAATCTTGTCAATCGCTGAGTAATTAATATCAAAATAGGCGTGACTAACTACGGCAATTATTATGTGGCCGAGGCAGCAAATTACTTGACTCATTTGGCGCCGGTAGATTTATGGGGCCGAGGAACTCCGGGCGATTCCCTCGATTAACTTTTCCCCTTGGCAACTGCACTTTCAGCACGAACTGAAGTTTTTATAATCCCGCCCCTGGAAACAATTAAGTTGGCCTCCTCCAGGAGCAATCCGCTTTTTAATCGGGCTAACCAAGAGCCATTTCAGCCTGCGGTGTCATAAATCCTTTTATGAGCTCTTTTACGGGCTCCTTTTTTCTCGTCTAGAAAATGGGAGAAAGAAGTACATGAAGTTTTTCAATGGCTTGAGGTTTTTTCACAGGGCTTACAATTTTTATCCTAACTTTTTCAATCTTTAAATAAATATATTAGTGAGTAAGGAAGATAAGTGGAGTTTTTAATATTTTTAAATATTTTCAAAGAGCATATAATTTAGCCATAAATATTTTTGGGCCTTTCACAATCCCCCAGTTAAAACATAAATTTTTTTGTAATTTTTCTCTTGCCTGCGCTGGCTTGTTCTTTTCAGTTTGGGCCGAAACCGGCGATTTCCGTGATAGTCATAGCTCCATGACCGCCGTAGCAAATAGTTTGGATAGCACCCACTTGAACAACTTTCAGACGTCATCATCGACATCCACGTTAACGAACCGGAGTCGGGATCGCAAAGATGGTGAGTCCGCAACCGTAACCCCTTGTTTTAGAACCCAGAACCCCAAACAGCCCACCCGAAATACGAAACTATTCCCAGACCGTATCCGTTATCTCCGGGGGCCCCATCGATAAGGAACATAATTTATAATAATTTCGGAAAGCGTGGCCAACGATTCCACCTTTGTCGGCGAAATTTACTCGACCGGGCCTAGTTAGTTTTCGATTAGACTGCCTTTGATTTGCGACCTCACGACGACAGAAAAACCAAAAAAAAAAACAAAACAGAAACTCAGAATGGAGCCGAACGAAAATGATATTTCACAGGGGCAGTAATTTAGTTTATTTGATTAAGTTTTCGGCAGTTTCGATTTCGATTTGGTCTCGCTTTCTGGGCCCTACAAAAAAACACAAAAAGCACGCCGCATGATCGATGACATTCGGGAACATACATTAACTGGTTATAAATCTGTTTGTCGGCGGTTGTTCTTTTGAAGTTTCCTAAGGGGGTGGTGGGTGGTTGGGCGGTGGGGTGTTTGCTGGCGACGCCTGAAGGTTGCATGGCAATTAGTAACGGTGCTCCGGTGACGCCAGAAATCAGAAGCCGCTCAGGAGACCTTTCCCTATCAAACTGAACTGCCAACCGGTAACCTAAGCAAACCCAGACAGACGGTAAAGCAGCTTAGCAACTGCAACTGCTGGACAAAAACATTAGACAACTGATACTTACTTTCTTTATCTTTATTCAAATGTGGTAATAAAATAAAACACATTTTTTATAGGAAATATAGATACATTTAAAATTATGTTTAGATAGACAATAATATTTTTAAATAAATATTTTTCCCCACAGGCAATCGCAGTGTAAACGAGACCACGATCAAAACCGAGAACATATCAAGCTCGGGTCACGATGAGCCGATGACTACCAGTGGCGAGGAGCCGAAGAACGACAAGAAGAACAAAAGACAGAGGCGCCAGAGGACGCACTTCACGTCGCAGCAGCTCCAGGAACTGGAGCACACCTTCAGCCGGAACAGATATCCGGACATGTCCACCCGCGAGGAGATCGCCATGTGGACCAATCTTACAGAGGCTCGCGTCAGGGTGAGTTCAGATCTTAAAATTTTCCGTTCTAAATATCTTGATATCCAAATAGCTAAGGCAAAAGTTCCATAATCAAATAAAAAGTTCTTGAATAAGAAAGTAGGAAATTTAAAATTGATAGGTCATTTAAAAAAAGGGGTTTTTTAATTATTTTTCTTCTTTTTAAAGATTTTTTTTTTTGAAAGGTTATTTTAATTAATAACACATTCTGGTTCATTTTGAATATTTTGATATATTAAAATTTGTATTAAAAATAAAATTACACTCTTAAATCTTCAAGTAAAATGATCAAATCGTTAGTTCTGCGTTGGGAAAACTTCTCCTCCTCCGCGGACTTTTCACCAACATTACCGCTGATGCTCGAATTAATTGCCAACCAAGCCGCAAACGGCAAACAAACGACGGCAGTCCCGGCATTCCGGCCACATTATGCTACCATTATAGTCCGTTAGCCAGGACCCCAATTATATTACGGACCGCAGGAGTCGCGACCGCAATGCAGCCGCACAGACTCGTAAATATGTCGCCTCGTTTGGCGTTGGCTTAAACCCAATACGAATACGGCCAATATGGCCAATACTCGTCCCCAAAAAGCCGAGTCGATTTCCCTGCGCCACCGGGGATTTATGGGCGGCCAAAGGGGGGCGTGGCGGGTTGGGAAATGGGGGGCCGAGGGTGTTGCCATAAATTGACGCAGCTAAAACTGCAGTTGGCAGCGTTTGCAGCATTTGCTGTTTGTAAACCGCGGGCTTATCGAACGGCCGACCTCAACTGAACTGCAGCGGAGTGTTTGCTCAATATCCGTTCTATTGACACGGTCCCATAGCATTTGTCCATGTCCGAGATACAATAGTGCACGATGGTATTTGGTTAGCAAGGTATATTGTGTTCCATTTAATGGATGCCCTAATATGGTTTTCTGAATATAATAATCTTTTGATTAATACTTGAAAGGGATAAATAACACATACGGCTCGAAGGGCCTTTTTGTTTATACAATTCAATGTATAAAATTAAATTCTTTTATTAATTATACGAAGTGATTTTCCATGATTTCTTGCTTTTAATATTTCTAAAAAATACTAGTAATACCTTAAAGAAAACCAACATATCAAAAATCCGACTTCTTTGATCGACAGTGCGTAATGTGGAAGGAAAACTAACAACAGGGGCCTGGAGTTGTTCAAGATATCTTGGCCACACAACAGTTGTAATTGTTTGTAAACACGATAGTTAGTTGGGCAAACAATTGGAGTTGTGGCGCCAGCGCGGCAAATATACTCTCCTGATATCGAAGATATCATACGAGCCTATATCTACATTTCTATTTCCCATTTTCCACTTCCATTTCCATTCGCCGTCAGCGGAGGGAAAGACAATCAGCAGACAGGCCGAAGGAGATATGATAGACAAATGATCGATGATCGGCGATGATTGCTGATGGTCGATGATGATCGGGTTTGTGATCATTGTCATTGGACGTATGGCGACATCAGCGTGGCATTAATTGTACAGTTAGAAGTGGTTGCTGGTTATCATCTAAGTTCAATTAGCCGGGAGAAAAGAAGAGAACATCTGCGAGAAAGGGCAAATATTTCATGGTTTTCCTATGCAAATTTCAACGGACCCCGCATATGCCAAGAAAATTCCCTTTTGCACTTGACAATATTTATAAAGAAATTAGCTGCGGCCCAAAGTGACAGGGGGAAACGGCCTTTTCTTTTATGCCGGGAATGATGTCAATCTAAACATGTGTTCCTCGCATAAAGCAGCTAAATGCATAAAATATTGATACAGTTTGTTTTATGGTCCATTATATGATGATGACAAAACGGTTGCCTCAGTTTGCTTACTTCCCCATCCGACTTTTCCACCCTCTGAAAATGCAAAACAATGCCCAGACTATTTGTCATCGCCATCCGAGGGTTGTTTAATGAATAAGAAAACCGCACACGAATTAATGATGATCGCGATCATGCCTTTGCGAGTTTCTAAGGGGTGTTTCTCTCCGTTTGTTTCACATTTGACTTTGACTTCTCGGGATGCCCATTGTAATAGCGGAGGCAATAAAATTTATCAAATATACAAAAGGATTAGAATGCAACTCCGTATACCGGGTATACCGGGATGGGCCTTATAAATCTGGCCGGGGCTTTAAACTGTCAAAAAAGAGCAGCCCCGTTGGAAAAGAAGGGAAGGGAGAACTTCTGCTTCTGTTTCTATATCTTCGGGCCCTGATAGCTACTAATCCGGGGATTTACATGCGCCGGCAATTATGGCAATATGTTCGTCTGTTTCTCTGTCTGTCCCATTGTCCCCGTTCTTTCTCCTTCTCTTTCACTTTTTAATGTGTCAAATAGAACTCACTTTTTAATTCAATTACCAGCCAAAGACTGGCAAAAACAAGGCCCATAAAGGCATTCGATTGCGAGTCCGAAGGGGGTTGTATCGAGCTATCGAGTGTTTTTTCGCTGTGAGCTGCTTTTTATGGTCAGGTGTCGCCAATGGCCCGGAAATGGGAACAACATTTGCCAATCGCTGAAAGTGTATAAAAAAGCCATTGAAAGTGGCCACAAAGGAGCCACAATATGCTACGATGATTGCAGTTTGAATGGTTCAATGTGCTGGATAAAAAAGGTAGGGGAGTTCTGAAAAATAAAGGGGGAAATAAAAATATTTTGATTTTTATATAAACAATAAAAAAGGGATTCATGTATTTTACAGTTTTTAAAACATTGTAAATAAGGAAATCTCTAAATAAATATTTTAGTTTAAATATGAACATCTAAATCTAAGGATAAGCAGTTAAGGTTTTAAAATCAGGATAAATAGAAGAAAATCTAATAAATATTGGGTCTTAAAAATTAAAATTTTTATCTTAATAATTACTAGGAAATTCAGTAATGAGACTGCTTAAAATATAGTAACTCTTTACAATAAAATACCAAACCATCATAACCTTTTGACTTTATCTATCTCCGTAGTAGCCATGATTAGGCTACTTTTTTGTTCACATATGTTCGTATATATCCGCAGCTGTAGTCGGACATCGGAGCAATTAATGATATGGTGATACTCTGACTGGAGTATAGTAATATCAAATAAAAACACCTCTTAACGAGGTAAAAAACTAGTGACGACCGCACCTTCAACATACAAAAGTTCTGATATCAACATTTGTGACGAAAAATTATTACACTCGTCATTAAATAGACTTTCTAATATTTTCTCATTCGGCCCGCCCTAGCAAACTATTCCAACCTTTTTCCCTTCACAGGCATTTTCTATTGCAGCGTGCCGAATGAGAAAATATTAGAAAGTCTATTTAATGACGAGTGTAATAATTTTTCGTCACAAATGTTGATATCAGAACTTTTGTATGTTGAAGGTGCGGTCGTCACTAGTTTTTTACCTCGTTAAGAGGTGTTTTTATTTGATATCAGAAGTTTTTGTTTGTTTACTTTTGCTCTCATAGGAGCTAATATATACATTTAAATTTAAATTGGTCAATCATAATTTTTAAACTATTGTATTTTAACAAATTGAGTTAAAAAGGCGTTGAAGTATTTCAAAATACCTTTTAAACGAGGTATAGCACATGTCTGTACCTTTAGTAGTGTAGAACTTACAAACTAACGAAATTTAGCTATTTTTAGCTCTTTCCCGCTAAAGTAGCGGCTTTTTCCAAAAGTCGTAGAACAAAAGATTCCTATATGGAACTCTTAAGTGCAAATTTACAGATTCCATGACCCTAAAATACAGTTCGGATACCCTCCCACAAAATTCAATACTCAGGGAGCGTTAATTGTTCGAGCTGGCAAAAGTGGCTATTTTCGTATAAAAATAACTTTTAAACGTGACTTTTTACAGTAATGTGTTATATACCAAAATTTAAGGAATCTCAAGGGCTATACAGTTTAAGGTTTTAAAGAAAATCGTTAGAGCCGTTTTTGAGAAAAATAAAAAAAAACCAAAAAAAAAGGTTTAAAAAATTGTCTTTTGTTCATATTTTTTTAATTATTACATTTACACAAATTGCATATAGAAGGCGTTTATAGCATTTCAAAATACCTTTCAAACGAGATGCAGCACAAGTCTGTAGCTTTAGTAGTATAGAAGTTACGGCTTTCCGAATTTTAGCTATTTATAGCTGTTTTCCCGCTAAACTAGCGAGTTTTTCCAAAAGTGGTAGAACAAAAGTTTTTTATATCGATGTGATGAACGTCATATCAAATTTTCAGAACTTAAAAAACATGTTTTGGACAAGTGGACAAGTGGACAAGTGGACAAACAGAATTAAATTTTCATTTTGGGAAGAAGAAGAAAATCTTATTTTGGCTATAACTTTTGAACGGAGCGTCGGATTTTGACAAATGACCCCTCATTCGACGGGTATTTTCAAAAGGAATACAAGTAAATCATTGCGAGGGGGCATTTATCCCCACCGGCCCCAACAGCTCCAAATTTCTAAATTTTTACTTTTTCACTTTCACCGCTCTCTCTCCCAATCCAATTGATTTTCTTAAAGTCTTGGTATGCAATCCTTTAAGTTTTTGCAATACCTTTCGATTGGTGTATTACTCATTACGATCTGACTATCACAGCAGATTTTCATTTCTTCGTGTATATATAGTAGTCGCCTTCGCACACTCTCCTGGTGCGCTTCGTCACTACATGGACTGCCGTCCATAGTGATCGCCTTCGCACACTCTCCTGGTGCGCTTCGTCACTACATGGACTGCCGTCCATAGTGATATGTATCTGTGTAGTCGGAACAGACAGTTAAGCACACAAATGGACAGCGCTGCGTGGAGTAGTTCACGTATCGATGTTATCTGCTGATTTTCACTTGGCCCACGGCTATCTATATAGAGAAGAACCCCGGAAATGGGAACCCATTTCACATTTCAAACATTCGGCAAATAAAAAACGTATTTAGCTGCAATTTGCGGCCATCAATCATGAGAGCCGGCATATAAAAAAAATGAGGGCCTAACTTCTGCCACATGGCCACTTTTGGCCACTCATATTCTCCTTTCTATTTTTTTGTGTCCACAATTTACCTGATGAAGCGTTGCAGGAGTCGCCCATCGAGTGTCATTGATGCTTTCATCAAAACCAATTAGGATTTTCCACACAGAGAGTCTCTGTGCCACGTTGAGTGGAAAATTGCGCTGTTTTTTGCACTCTCTCATATTTCACTTTTGCGCAGAGTTTTCGCCTTTCCCTGCATTCTATTTTTTTTCCTGCAGGCACATCAATTTGCCATCAGCATTTTCCATTTTTCCGTCTCCCTGGGTTTTCTGTTTTTTGTATTTTTTGCAGCTTTGGCCACTTGCTAAATGATACGTGAAAATGACAGCTGACGAGATCGATGACGTTAGTTTTGCATCCTTGATGATGCAGGAGATCCTTGAGCTCCTGATTCTGCTGACGACGGTGATGATGATGATGATGGGGCTGAGCGATATACCTTGACAAATTGACACATTGCGAAGGCAGGGGATTTGATTCGGAGGTCCTGGGAAACTCTTACTTTCGCTCTTACTACTTTCTACTTTCCTGCTTTCGTTTTCCCTGGTTGCTTTCAATTAACTGCCGCAACTAATTAGATTACGGCAATTGCCGCACTAAATTCGATTTGCTGGCACGCGGCCATAGTTTTTCACTTGTTAATGTCTCAATTTGAGTTTTCCCAGGCGAAAACCAACACTTTTTGCATAGATCAACGCGTGTCGCAATTTAGTCACGGCAGTTAGGGGTTTGGGGAATTTACAGGACGAAGGATATGCAGGGTGCAGACCTGCATTGGCCATAAATCTGCAACCCCGCTAACTGGAAACGCGTTGATTTAGGGACAATGTGGCAATGCGGCAACAAGCCATGAAATTCGAATTTGCAGCTTTAATTGCATCTCTAACTGTGTGAACATTTCTAGATAGACCTACCAGATACATTTGTGTCTTAAAGCAGAAGAGAACTCCGAGAGCAAGAAACTCATCAAAATGCTGGGAACGTCTGCGCAGCTCTTTGTCATTTGTATCTGTATCTCGGGGCAAGAGTATCTTTCGTTCCTTCGGTCCCCAGCAAAAAAAACAACATCCGTATCTGTGCAAACTTCAGCCATAAATTACAAAGTTGCCATTTTGTTTTTATCTTCTTTTCTGTGCACTTTCTGTGTGCAAAATAATTTTGATTTATTTTTTGCGCCCTCGCAACTTTTTGCCCCGTCTCCCCCAGACTTTTTCGGTGGTGGCAAGCCGAGTTTATTTATATAAAGCTCTCCATTAAAAAAGGCTGCCACAGCCACGACGGGCTGGCTGGGAGTATTTATGTATATATTTGTATATTTATAATTACTGCACATGCGTATTGTAAAGGGGAGCGCTTTTTGGGGAAGTTTTGCCTTTGCCGTCGCTTTTGCCTTTGCTTTTGCCAGCGCAGATACATAAATTTTCAAGTAATAAATTATAAAAGAAAATGGCCGACTGTGCAGCTTAAAAACTGCGAATAAGTCGCGATGTGAACAAAGAATTTAAGTTCTAAATTTGGGATTTTCGTTGTCGAAACTCTGATTAAAATATATATTTTACCTTTAAATTATTTTCCTATTACACCTAAAAAACAAATAAATATTTTATATTGAGCACATTAAATGGTTTTTGAAAAACAAATTTACAGTATATTTCTTTTGCAAAATTATTAAACGTTTAGTAATTTTAGTCTAGTATACTAAAAATCAAAAAAATGTTTAAGAATTTTCGATATAACTTTTAAGTATAGTGGATGCTAGGAAATGAACTATTTTCTTAAAAATTCAGGCAATATATAAAGAATTTCAGTTGAAAAAAATTAGAAGTCAAAGTAAGGAACTAGATTTTTAGAATTGATGGTAGAAACTTTCTTATATGATAATTTCGCCCTTAAAATATATCTTTTATGCTTTTGGATATCCTATTATTGTATTTGATAAAAAAAATCCAATTTAATTCCTTTTAAACTAATTAATGTCTATATTTCCTCATCCCCAGGTGTGGTTCAAGAACCGCCGGGCCAAGTGGCGCAAGCGGGAGCGCAATGCGATGAACGCGGCTGTGGCGGCCGCGGACTTCAAGTCGGGATTCGGCACCCAGTTCATGCAGCCCTTCGCGGATGACTCGCTGTACAGCTCGTATCCGTACAACAACTGGACCAAGGTGCCCTCGCCGCTGGGCACCAAGCCCTTCCCGTGGCCGGTGAACCCACTGGGCTCCATGGTGGCGGCGGGCAATCATCACCAGAACTCGGTGAACTGCTTCAACACGGGCGCGAGTGGAGTGGCGGTGAGCATGAACAATGCCTCGATGCTGCCGGGATCGATGGGCTCCTCGCTGAGCAACTCGAGCAACGTGGGGGCGGTGGGCGCCCCCTGTCCGTACACTACCCCCGCCAATCCGTACATGTACCGCTCCGCCGCCGAGCCCTGCATGAGTAGCTCGATGAGCTCGAGCATCGCCACCCTGCGGCTGAAGGCCAAGCAGCATGCCTCCGCGGGATTCGGCAGCCCCTACTCCGCCCCCTCGCCAGTTTCCCGCTCCAACTCCGCCGGGCTGTCCGCCTGCCAGTACACCGGCGTGGGGGTGACGGACGTCGTCTGAGAAAACGCCCTGGGTGCGCTGCTCAACCAGCACCAGCACCACTTGCAGCACTTCTCGCAGGGATCGGGGGTGCATCCGAACGGCATGCAGCAGCACTCCTCCGCCGGCGGCAACTACTCCGACCTGGGATTGGGGGCCAATCACCATGCCGACGATCACAGCCACAGTTTGGAGGGCAGCAACAAGTCCCCCCTGGAGGCGCCCCTGGCCAACAGCAGCAGCAACAACAACAACAACGACAACGATGACGAGGACATCATCGATTGAAGATATCATATGATATGATATGAAGAAGAGAAATCAAACTAAGCGGCAGCGTTAGCCCTAAGCATTCATAAATAATTTTAGATGTTTGCCTAAACTAAAGATAAATATTATAAAAAACGAAGAAAGCCCTATCCAAAGATACAATTTTTTGAAGAACAATAATTAAATTTACTCCCTTTCGTTTGCATTGAGATTAAATGCCAGTTCGCCCCCCAAAAAAATTCAGAAATTAAGTGTTTTTGTAAATAAAAGCAAATATCTAGTTTATAAGAAAAGGCAAAACACCCTAAACTAATCAAGCCAAAAATAGCCAGCCCAAAGAACATATAGTCGCTCCTAGTTCCACTTTCAGTTCCCCCATCGTATATATCGTATATATATAAACCAGAAACGTATCAAGATTGTAAAACAGCCAAGGCGAAAAAATAAAGAAAACTAAAGCTAAACTATATATCAGAAGTAGCCGTTTTTAAGGAGTTGTCTAGTCGTATAGAGATCCGCATATGGCATATACCCAGTACTGTCTGTATATGTACCATGTATATCCCCACTAAAGAGCCCCGTATAAATATAAATAAAAACTATTTAATAATTGTACACTTAATATTACTAGTTATAGAAATTGAATCAAAAGAACAATAAAAAGTATGGAAAAAAACCGCACGCACATGTTATATGGAATAATGAATTACGAGGGCAAATTGCGGTCAACCGCTGGGATAACGAATGGCTTTTTTCCGGGGAAAGCGGGGAAGGGGAAATGGAAAAATTAAAAAATCAAATTGTAATTTACAGCCAGCCAATTCCGGGGGAAAGGGAACTTAATTTAAAGCAGCTTTTCCTCCCCCAAAAAAGCAGCGGGCAAGTGCTTAATTCCAAGGTGGACCTATGGACCTGGGAAACCAGAACCATCCATCAATTTATTCATTACAGGGAAATTATGTCGCATTTATATGCACCCCGCCAAGTGACAAAACCCCCCGGAAAATCACCGCACAATAAAAATAATAATAAAAGGACATCCGCGTCGAGGGGGTTGATTTCCTCTCCTTTGGGTTTCATCAAATTTGAATTTCATATGCTGGGACCTTGATTGAAGTCGGCTAATAAAGTGCCCAAAAGGGAGAGGGAAATCCGGAAGGGGGCAAATGGGATTTCCCGCTGCGCTAAGCATCCATTTAGGGGGTGCCGAAGTCAAAGGGGGGGCTAAACTGCGACCCGGCGACCATTTGATTTATTTTATTCTCCTTTGCCCGCTGTTAATGTTTTAATAAGATTGATTTTATTGCCGCCTCCGAGCGCCGAACGCCGTGTGGGTGGATTTGGCCCTGCTGGGGCGTCAAAGGGTTAATAAGTTGCGCTCCAGCTGTTTTTAGCAACTCTATTATTGTCTCCATTTCGGAATGGCTTTGAGTTTCGTTCGAAATTGGAAGTTGTTATTGCGAATTTAAGAGTTTCGGGTTTCGGGGAGTTTTCGCGCAGATAGGACGACTATCTGAATTCATTGCTCCGGCACATACACACTCGCGTAATTAACTTTTCGGCGTAATTAATGCCGAGCCTAATTATTGTTAATCAAGCTCAGGCCGTCAACCAGGCAGAGCAGCCCAAACAGGCCGCATAATGGATGAGCCGCAATTAAAATCAACTTCCTATATATATGGGTTGTGCGGGGGAAGCACAGCGATGATAGCAGTCACACAGAAAAAAAAAATAGTTAATTAAAATATATAAAAAAAAATACCTTAAAAGTTTAATTCTTAATAAATATTTTCCCAACAATTTAAATGCTATCTAATATATAGTTGAAATAACTTTGTATCATACTTTTACAAAGTCATTATACTTTGTTTTTAACCTATTCCTTTTATCAAATATAGAATTTTTCTGATTACTTGTATCAATACAAATTTGTTATAGAGTTTTTTCTTCATAGAGCTCACTTATTTTTCCTTCCCTTCTCAAGACCCCTTTTGCGATTCTCGTACTTCTGCTAAAGAAGCGCCATCTTGAAACTGTCTTAAGACACGACGCATGCTGTCAGCCATTATTTGCCTATCCCACCCCGTTGGATCCCGTACCTCTTATAAGTCCTCCCCCATTTGAAGCTCCCCCACCATTCCATATAGAGACAATCAGAGAACCAGTTCTTCTCTTGTTTCACTTCAGAACAAAACCCCCGACTCTTGGCTGATTCCCCATCATTTACTTTGTCAGTATGCGGCAGCTTCATCATTATTATTGCCGCTGGCCCGCTTCTTTGTTTGCAACATACAAACTCATCATCATCATCATCTTCGTTTCGTCGTAATCATCATGGTCTCCATCTTGGCTGCTGTATTTTTCCCTTAGGTACTTGTCTTTCTTAACTCATTGCGTTGGCAATAAATCTTCGACGCTCTTATCTGCCAGGCACACAGTTTGGGTTCGCTTGGATTTACCCCGGCCAATTCCCCAGTTATCCCCATTAACTGACTTTCACTTGGGCCATATGTCAGCTGTTTTTTTCTGTCGCCTTGAAGGATCTCTTTGTATCTATGGCACCTGCTTAGGGAAAGGGTTTTTAATTTACATTTAATTTCTAGAGCTTCGGCAGTAAAAGCAGCTTTAGGCCTCATTAAAATCGGGACTGAAATATTAACTCAGGAAAGCTAAATAATTGACAGAATTTCTCTGTCTCAATAAACAAGCCCCCAAAACGAAGATAATGTTGCAGAAATTTCCCAGCTGCTGGTCGAGACCCCCATTTATAACCGAAAGCAAAATGATGGCCATAAAACTCGTCTCATATTTCGACTGGCCTTTATTTATTCATTTCAAATTTACTTGTTGGCCATTTTATGATGCCAAATTTTGACCTAAAAATCATAAAAATTGTAATCAAAATGTTTTGCCCAGTTTATGGCCGACGAGAATGGAGGTCAGGCGATGGCAGAAGGAATTCTAATAACGTCTAAACGCGGGTCCGAAGAAACTGTAGGTTGGGGGTGGGCTCAACGCTTATGGCTTTTTAATGGTGCCGTGTGTCGGTTTTGTGGCAAATAAAATGGCGCACATTAAAAGCGGGCCAAAAGGAGCAGCCACAGCCACTCCACCAATTGCATCCCGGCCTCTGAACCCCGAACCCCGAACCCCAAGTCGCATATTGGGGTCATGCATGGCGGCCCTGGGTAAATAAAAAATACATAAAAATATTTTACGAGCCTCGAGTCCGGGAATAGAAGGAATAGATGTGCCGAGGAGCCCAAGGAGCTGAAAATTATAGGATAGTCCCCCGGAACAGAAGAACAGAAGCGAACATCGCAGCGAGATTGCAATAAAAATGGCGGCAAATAAAATTGACAATATTGTCATGCGCGCGATTTGATTTTGATGCCAGTGTGTGGGAGCTCCCGCAATCCTTAAACTTGGCAACAAAATGAGTCAATTTTAATTAACTTAAAAGGCATAAATATAACAGAAAAAGAGCAGGAGGAAATTGAAAAATATTAAATGAATGAAGACCAATTATTATAATTTACCATGATATTATATAGTTTTTCTTAAGTTCATAGATCTTTGATCATAAAAACCAAAGCAATAACTATCACACGATCTATAAATACTCGCTAATAAACGCCTCTTTGGTTTCCTAAAACCCTGTAGTTATTTCCCTCTTAATATACTTTGTCGCGAATCTTTACTTTTGTTTTATCTGCGATACTAACTTTTTATAGAGCCATCTTTGGTGTTGATAAAATGCGTAAATGCCGGCGGCAAAACGCTAAAAGGTTTGCCCTTTATCAGTTGTACCCATTCCCCTTTTACTCCAAAAAAAAACCCCACCCATCCTACATGTAACTTCAAGAGTGTGGAGCCAATGATTATTCCGGGTTTTGTCATTTCAATTCGCATTATCCTTTGCACTTATTTTACTACTTTGTGCGCTACTGCTTCTGTTTTTACCCCGTCCTATTCTCTTTTTCCCAACTGTAACTGTAATTGTGGGATGGTGTGGGTGGGGTGGCAGGGAAGAGGGTGTGTTTGTGTAATGGCGGGTTGCGGGTGTCCTTCCACCTCCCACCACCCCCCTTCTCCCTGTCGAGTAACTCGTATTGTCATTGTGCAAATAAAATATGTCACGAATCGCCCACTCCCTTCGAACGTTGCTTTTTGGGTCCACCCCAAACCGAATAAACCGAAACACGCCCCCTGCTATCTGTGTGTGTGTGTACCTAACCTTTTGTGCCCATTGTAGTCCTTTGTGCAGGACTCCCAGGACTCAACTCGTACAATGAGGGAAAATGTTTTGGTTGCTTACGAGCATCAAGAAATGAGAATCGCTTTTATATAAACTTGGCTGAATGAGGATGGGCGGTTGATGTGGTTAAAAGGAGTCAGTTGCCTTTGATTTAGCTTAGTGCAGAGAGAAAAAATATTAGAAAATATTATAAAATTCAAAACGTATACAAATATTTCTTAAAGAGAGAATTTTTAAATTTTTATATTTTTAAGTAATCTTAAAATATTTTGGATTCCATTATAACATAAATGGTTCACCCCTTATATTCTGTATGTATGCTACCTAAATCTAAAAGATCAACTTTAATTGCTCCTGCATTTTATGGCAGCCAAGCCCTTGCCCTTACTTTTCCCCCTTCCCCTTCCCAAAATTCATTCAAACGCTTTTCACTTGACAAGCCAGGGAAATAAACAAACTACATAGGAAAGCCAATGCCAAAGCCAAATCCAAATCCATGATTTCAGCTGCCAAATCCTTTTCAAAGCTGCAGCCAGGTGAAAAATAACGAAATATTGTATTTTTCATACATTTTTATCAAATATAAATACAGAGTCAGTCGAAAGTGTGCGGGGGGTTGTATCTGTATATGTATATTTGTATCTGTATGCTCCCATATGTGAACGGCGAACCACCAACTACACAAGTTTATAAAAGACACTCGGTCGTCTGCCCTCCCGTTTTGTGTCTTTGTGTTGAGTGCTTTTTGGCTAAATGCGAAATCGATTGGAAAACAATTTCCAATTTTTAAAGAATTATCGCCGCCATATTCGCGCATGCTGTACTAAATCACACATAAGCAACCTCTAAATCTGCTACCCGGGACCTGAAACCTGAAGCCCCCCCATCGCACACATGGCAACCTTTTCGCAAAGCTTTTCCTTTTTGGCTCGTTTATTTCCTTTTTATTTTCCCTTTTCCCAGCCAACAGCTAACAGCCACCAGCTCCCAGCAATATTTTCCATTTCATTTTCTGCGCGGTTGGCAGCGCGTTTAGCTTTGGCTGCATGCCTGACTGACTTTCAGTTATACTAAAAGTATATACATTTATATCTGAACAGCAGGGGTTAGGGAATAAAGTCAGAAATATATATAAATATTTTGGAAATAAATATTTTTATTTTGCAATAAATAATAAATAAATATGTGCAGTTGTTCAAGTTGTTCATATCATTTTGATATTAATTAAGATTATGTTTTTCTTATTTTAGAATAATTTTTAAAAAAATACTATATTTGACATTTTAAAGCAGTTTTTTTTATAGCTTTTTATGAAATGATATAATATCAAGTTAATAAGTTTGAATCATAAATTTGGCATTAATCTAATAGAAATGACCCCATTTCATATACAATTTTTTTTCTGTATAGTTACGAGTTCGAGTTATTTAATATTAAAGTTTATGGAATTTTTGTTTTGTTTTTAATTTAAAAAATTATAATCAAATATATATTTTCCCAAGCCATATTCACATGATTTTTCCTAGTTTACCATTCGCTGCTCTTTTAGTGAACTTGAGTGTACCCTTATGGGTGTTATCTCCACCGCAATAGCAACTGAATTCCAAGGGAAAGGAGTCGGGGGTTCAATGGTGGTTGGGGTTTTGGGTTCGAGAGGACTGCCAACGCAACCCGCAGCCATTTAGTTTTATGTGCCCCTTCGGTTGGGTTATTGCACCTTTGACTCGGCTCCGTCGCCATCTAAATTCCGGCATCACCTTCGACTAGAGAGGTGTCACCCCGGAGGGCATATATCCACATCCACATGCTCAGCCACATCCACAAAGCATTTCGCTTGCGGAGCCATTTATTATTATTTGCTTTCGGCAAATGCGAGCATCCCAAAAGCGAACCTCGGCCGCAAGTATTTCCTAATCAGGTTTTAACTACTAATAGGATTTCCGAGGTGGCGAATCGTAATTTACATGGCTTACATGGCCCGGGCAAAACCCAAAGAATTGAATTGGAATCCAGAGCAAAGCTGCCGCTAATGTATTGCAGATTATGGCCAAATCCCTCGGGCACTTCCCGTACTTATCCCCACACACACGTGCTGATTCCCCTTAGCACTGAGTGGATCCGATGGAGACGCCACTCAGGTCCCTGAAGCGCCTGAACCGCTCGACCCTCCGCTGCCGAAAGTAGCGCCTCAGCTCGAAGCCCACGTTGCACACCACCAGGCCCATCATGATGGCGGTGATGATCGCGGCAAAGATGAGCAGGAACCAGTGGAAGTAGCAGCTCATGGTCACCGGCTTCCGGAGCCAGGCGGTCCAGGACGACGTGCACTGCTCCTGGACGCATCTGCCCCGCAGGTTCCTCACGCATCCCTTGGCACAGCATCCGTTCGGGGAGAAACTGCCACAGGCGGTGAGTTCAGTGAAGGGATTGGAGCAGTTCGCTGCCTCGTACTCCCCCGATATCCCCAGGACGAAGTGGACCAAGAGGCCGAGGCCCAGGGTCATCAGGTGGACCAACATTTCGCACTCCTGCTCACAAACCGAAAGGCATGTTCTAAACTCTACACAATTTTGAAAATAATCACGAAATTTAAGGGTTGGGACAGAGCTTACTGTTTTAAGAAAAATATCCGAAAATGATATTTTAAGAAAAGGATCGGCAAATATTTTATATTCCATTATGAAATTATTGGTGTAAAATCACTTTTTTCTTGTTCATGTAGTATATTCTTTGTTAATATTTTTTAAATATAGTGTCTTAATTAAATATAATTTCAAAGACACAAAAATACCGATAAACATATGATTAATCTTTGCAAAATTAATTTGCTCCTTTCATAGCTTCCATATAATTAAGTGTTTATAGTTTTTAATGGTTTCTTTCTAAAAAAAATTCTTGAATAAATATATTTCATGTTATTTTGGTAGAACATTAAACCATTATTTCTTTTAACTTTCTACCATTATTTCTCATAGAAAAACAATGATTTTTCACCTTTTTCTTCACTCCTTTTCGCTGTTTCGGGCCTCCAGAAATGCCCTAGCCTTTTCGGCCCTTTCCTCCGCCTCGATGGCCTCCTGTTCCTGCTCCTGCGGATCCTTGGGCGGAATATACTCCGGCGGATTCTGCTCCCGGGGATTCGGGATGAAGGGAGCATGTGGCCAGACGGATGGCTTCGCCTGCAGCAACCAAAGTTCGTCGAGTTGTTTTTGCAGATACTGAACTGCCTTCTGGTGACGATTGGCCATGAAGTAGGCGCATCCCAGCCAAACAAAAGTCAGGACTACAACGCTGGACAGGATCAGCACTTTGGTGGAAATGGGTTCCAGTGTGCTGCCCAAGGAACTAGGGGAGTTTTGGAACCTTTGTGCCTGAGCTGGCAGAACTGCTCCAAACAGCAAAACGAGTACTAACTTCAAAACGAACTGGTACTCCATTTCACGGAATTTGTTCAACTAAAGCGGTTTTATCGAGCGAGCTGACTTTATAGAGGCCACTTATCGCTCCAAAGTAAAGGGTATTTCCCAGAATTATTCCCTTGGCTCACAAACAAACACAAGTCACCAATTAAGAACCCTGGAGAGTCTAAAAAAAAACTTAACAATAATTAATTTATTAATATAAAATATAAGTTTTACTCTCAAAGAAGAATTGTGATTTCTCTAAAATTAAATATTAAAAAAAATTTAATAACTGAAAGTTATTGAATTTCTTTATATATATACCTACTGTATTGCATTTCGCTATTCTTTATTTTCTAATAAAATATTGTTATATATATTTATTAAATCTACCAATAATTTTTCAGTTCAATTTCTGAAATATTTTCAATTTACCATCTCTGCGTTATTATTACATTCAGTTGATTATTGAATTCCAAAGGGCTTAATAATTGTGCCTGCATTCCCCAGGAGGTGGGGCCATACCATCTGAGTCTTGATTAGAAGTGCCACATCAGCTCGCAATTCACTCGAACTCGAGCTCAAAGCGACCGTAAACCAAATCGGCATAACAAAGTGATTCTAATGTAATTCGTGATTTTGCATAATTATAAAGTTAATAATTAAAATTGTTGCGTGCACAAAACCGAAATGAAAACATTAAAATTTAATGATGATTTCGGTCTGTGCAGGTGTGCTGGTTATTCGGCATTTACAGGGTGGATTTTGGGGGGTCATATACTTCATATATCGCCAAATAACTAATGCGTAAATATTAGCAAAAGCCACCCAAATTCCGCCCCTCGATTTCCCCCATAAATTTGAGGCACATATGCAGTGCGTTTGTAATAAGCAATCAATTATTATTATTGAATTTCGGGCATGGTCAGGTGCAAAAAGGTAGGAGGGGCAGTGGGCGGTGGGCGTGGCAGCTGGTCAACGCCACTAATGCGTCTAATGAGAATTTAAGCACACTTCAACCCTCTCGGTCCGATTTGAACCCCAGCCCCCCTGGAATTTCGGAATTTTGCGTGGATTTGCACAGCACACACATAACCCCAAGTACAGTTGTGCTCGGCCAGAATGCAAATGCAAATACAATTACATTTCGAGCCCATTTGGCGGCATTTCGGTTTTGCTTTTCATATATTTTCCAATTTGTTAGTCGAAAACGGCACAAATCTGTGATTTGTGGTTGGGCTATGGATTTCTGTAGAGTGAGTGGTTAGAATACTATTTTGAGGTAGATTTTGGGGGAATTTATATGACAATACCTATATATTATTTATATTTTTTTTGGAAATGTGTTAATATCTATTATAACCTCTTAGTTCATACAAATAATTTACAAGATCTATACAATTTGATGATATTACTTTATCCAAAAAAAAGATATATAACAAACTTTTTTTTTGCGAACTATAAATTGTGTAAAAACCAATATATATAAAGTAAATTTCAAAAATGTACATCCAAGGATTTCCATACCATTTTTAAATTAAAGTAATCCCATTTCATTACCAATTACAAGTGCATTAATATTATGTGAGCCCATTAAAAATCCCTAACAGGATAGATTTCCTTCTAGCCTCACAATAAGTGGATTCTCGAACTCCCCGCACAAATTTGTGCCCCGCTTAAATGGGGTTCCGTTCATGTGACCCTGCTAAACCGACATCGTTAATGATAATTTAATTATTGCCCGGCATTTCGGGCTTTGCGACTTACGCACTCCTGCGAAACGAGAATCCTGCGGCCTGGCTAATTGCAGCAAATCTGCTTTGGGTCAGTTAGTCGTCCTTATTAACTGATAATTGCAATCACCCGGCTTTCGGCCGCACCAGGTGGGTAGAATGCGATTCATAAAGCGGCCAAATCCGCGAATATCGCCAACCATTTCGAAGATACGACAAACAATGCAAACAGTGACAGTTTCAGTTCAGAAATGCGATTGGAACTTAACTCTTAACTCGCAAATGGATGGGGGCATTGTAATAATAAAACAAAAGTGTCAGGGCCAAAGATATCGCGAGGATATGCGGAATCCATATTGGAAATTGATTTAAATTTTTAATAGGCATCAGGCAGACGCTTTGATAAAAATGCCAGTCGCACAATCGCTGGCTTACCAGTCGCAGGAAGATATATCCAGATCCGGGGATCCCCAGATCCCAACTTCTGACGGCGGGGCTCTAGTTAAATATGGAAACAATATCGAATCGAATCGAACTGAGCTGAAATGCCAACTGAAATCGGCTGAAACTTGCAAGTGAATGCCGAACGCGATATGAATATCTATATGGCTATATGGCATCCAGCATTTATATTTGTTTTCGGAGCTGTCAAATCATATTTTAATCTGTTTTGATTGCTGACTTTTGTGCGAGGGATTTGGCTGCAGCCCGACTGAAATGCTGAAATGCAGCGGAAAATATTGCATTTTATTTTATTTATGCAGAAAAAAGACGGGCGAATTTATATGGAAAGCTCGTGCGAGTTTTTCTCCGCCCTCCGCCGCCCCCTTGATTTTTCCGCATTTTCCGCTCGTGACTCCAGTTGCTCTGCTGTGTGCGTTTTCCATTTGTTTCATTTGATGTGCCAGAGTTAAGCAGTAAAATCCACTTTTTACGAGTTGTCCCCGGATTCTTCCGGCGGCCACTCCCCCGCCCTTTTTTGGGAGCTTTGTGTTACTCATACGAGCGTAAGAAAAGAAAAACCAACGGCACGCATTCGGTCGCTGAAATTTGTCAATAAAATATTGCGGCCTAGAGGTGAGCAAGAAGTCTAAGGATTTTTCCCATCTTTATACAAAAAACAAAGGGAAAATTTAATTTAAAATTAAAACAATGGAAGCATTTTAAATTGAAAAAAAACCTACCAGATGTTTGAGTAAAGATAACATGCAACCAAAAAAATTTTAATTTGGATGATAGACTTTTTCAAAAACTAAATTACCTCCATTTAAAGATTCCTAATAAATTCTTAAGTAATACACATTTATGATATTTAATTCCTTAAATATAAGAAAATTTAACAAAAAGAATTAAGATAAGATAAAAGTTTCTTAAGCATCGGAGGATACATTTTTGGGTGAGTATCCCTTGGATAATATTAACACTGCTAACAACTTTGTATGCAGAAATCGCTGGTAGTGGATATCATCACTAGCAGGTCCTTTTCCTCCCGCCTTCGGACCTTCCCAAAATCCCCCTCCCCCCTTCCGTTTTCCACGCGGCTTTGGCAGTGACTTAAATACACATAACCATAGATGGTGCCACTGGTCCTCGTCCTTTCCTCGTCCTTTTCCCGCTCCTTTTCCTCCGGCTAGATTGTCAACATATTAGCTTCAAATTGCTAAAGTTCTGCGACTTTTGCTGTGTTGCCTCATTTTCTCACGCACGCACTATGCCCCTCTCTTTCTATCAGTATGCTCTGTCTCTTTCTGTTACACCAGTCCCGTCTCTTTCGCTTTCTTGTGTGGGCATCATTGTTTAATGTGGTGTTGCCAACTATTTTAGCCAAAAGCTCACACGGGTTGCGCGGCCGGGTGATTTGCTTGCTTAGCTTAACGTGGCTGGGGATTCTAGTGATTCTAGGGGGGCGGAAGACTGAGGGGCGGGGCTCTCTTCTCCATACTCCCTATATAGACCATCCAACCATCCGGCTGTCCACTGCCCATCTCACATCTCTTTTAGCGTTGAAGCGTTCGGTTGACACTCGTGAAATCTCTTTTCAAATCCCGAAGGTCGTTGCCAGGGATTTTCTCAGATTTTGCTAGATTTAAATGAATTAGTTGCTTTGGCCGGGCTGGCCGATTGATTTTCTGACCTTTTCTGTGGATTTTTCCGGTGTTTTCTTTTTTTGTGGGCAGAATGAGCAGGCCGAATGCAATTTGGCTTAAGAGCAATTGCAGCCATGACTCACCATTAGCTGCAGTTGACCCCTAGAAACCCCATAACTCGCCCCACAGAATGAGTACAAATGGGGTTTCCCCCTGGCAAAATAATATGGATGAGGCCAAATTAGACAGGGGAAAATGGAGAAAAATGTCCACTGCATTCTGCAAGTAATTAAAATATGAGAAAACAGTTTCAGCTGGCCCCATAAAATATTCCGGAGTCAACAAAGGATGTGAAGCCCGAATGCATCTGCATTTTTCCAGGGGATAGAGAGATGGAGATGGAGGAGCTGCTCCTTTTGCCGGGTTGCCTGGCTGGTTGGTCAGGCTGGTGGGCTTAAAAAAGCATCAAATTTCATATTCAAAATGGCACTTTACATGTTCAGCATAATTTATAAATGCACGCAGCGCCGGAAGAGCAGAAACGGAAGAGCAGAAACACCAGAGCCCAGCTACAACAAACATGAAATGTGCTGCGGTGGCAATATTTTTGAAGCAACATTGTCGACACTCCGGAAAAGAGGGCTTCAGGGGGAGGGAAGAGGAAAACGAGGCGGAAAAAGAGGCGAGGCAGTAGCAGGACATCGATGGCAGCATTGCCGTTGTCATTCGTCGCCTTTTATCTGGGTAGAGGGGTACCATGGCTATTGTAACCAGTTTGCACTGATGTGAGTTATTATTTTAGCATTACATTTTTTTTAAATATATATTCACCAATTGTCAATTTTTTTTTACGATTATTTGGATCATTTTTTCAAATATTTCGGGCAAAATACTTTTTGTTTTTGATTGGAAGATCACGGCTATGGTTTTTGATAATTTTTGGCTGCAACTTAGCCAAAAATTTCCCCAAATTAAGAATTCGTACCGTTTTAAATAGCTAAAAATATAAAAAATTGATCCATATCACTTTCCAGCTGATTTAGAAAAAATAATAATTTGACTAATTTTTACATTTTTGATAAGGGGTAACATCACAATTTTTTGCAAAATATTGATAAAAATTAAATTTTCTGGGTTTGAATGCCAATTGATAGTGATTTTTATTCTGAGCTCAACGAGGTACGTCACTCCATATTTGGGCAATTTGTGGCTTTGT